AGCCTCTCAGACCATAGTGCAATCAAGTTAGAACTCAGAATACAGAAACTAACCCAGAACCGCACAGCTTCATGGAAACTGAACAACTGGCTCTTGAATGTTGACTGGGTAAACAATGAAATGAAGGCAGAAATAAAGAAGTTCTTCAAAACCAATGAGAACGAAGACACAACGTGCCAGAACCTCTGGAACACATTTAAAGCAGTCTCTAGAGGAAAGTACATAGCAATAAGTGCCCATATGAGGAGAATGGAGAGATCCAAAATTGACACCCTATCATCAAAATTGAAAGAGCTAGAGGAGCAAGATCAAAAAAACTCAAAGCCCAGCAGAAGACAAGAAATAATTAAGATCAGAGCTGAGCTGAAGGAGATTGAGACACGAAAAACCCTTCAAAAAATCAATAAATCCAAGAGCTGGTTTTTTGAAAAGATCAACAAAATAGACAGACCACTTGCCAGATTGATTAAAAATAAAAGACAGAACAACCAAATAGATGCAATAAAAAATGATAAAGGGGAAATCACCACAGATTCCACAGAAATTTAAACCATCATCAGAGAATATTACAAACAACTCTATGCGCATAAACTAGCAAACCTGGAAGAAATGGATAAATTCCTGGATTCCTGTGTTTTTCCAAGCCTAAACCAGGAGGAAGCTGAAACTATGAATAGACCAATAACAAGGTCTGAAGTTGAGGCAGCAATTAAGAGCCTACCACACAAAAAAAGCCCAGGTCCAGATGGGTTCACAGCCGAATTCTACCAGACACACAAGGAAGAGCTGGTACCATTCCTTCTAAAACTATTTCAAACAATCCAAAAAGAGGGAATCCTTCCTAAATCATTTTATGAGACCAACATCATTCTGATACCAAAACCCGGCAGAGACCCAACAACAAAAGAAAACTTCAGGCCAATATCCATGATGAACATAGATGCAAAAATCTTCAATAAAATATTGGCAAGCCAATTGCAACAGCAAATCAAAAAACTTATCCATTATGATCAAGTAGGATTCATCCCAGGGATGCAAGGCTGGTTCAACATACGCAAGTCTATCAACGTAATTCACCACATAAACAGAACCAAAAACAAAAACAACATGATTATCTCAATTGACGCAGAGAAGGCATTTGACAAAATTCAACAGCCCTTTATGCTAAAAACCCTCAATAAACTCGGTATCGATGGAACGTATCTCAAAGTAATAAAAGCTATTTATGACAAACCAACAGCCAATATCATACTGAATGGGCAAAAACTGGAAGCATTCCCTTTGAAATCTGGCACTAGACAAGGATGCCCTCTTTCACCACTCCTATTCAATATAGTACTGGAAGTTCTAGCCAGAGCAATCAGGCAAGAAAAAGAAATAAAGGGTATTCAAATAGGAAAGGTGGAAGCCAAATTGTCTTTATTTGCAGACGACATGATAGTATACCTAGAAGACCCCATTGCCTCAGCCCAAAAACTCCTGAAACTGATAAGCAACTTCAGCAAAGTCTCAGGATATAAAATCAATGTGCAAAAATCACAAGCATTCGTCTACACCAATAACAGACTTAAAGAAAGCCAAATCAAGAGCGAAAATTGCCATTCGCAATTGCTACAAAAAGAATAAAATACCTTGGAATACAACTCACAAGGAACGTAAAAGACCTCTTCAAGGAGAACTACAAACCACTCCTCAACGAAATCAGAGAGGACACAAACAGATGGAGAAACATTCCATGTTCATGGTTAGGAAGAATTAATATCGTGAAAATGGCTATACTGCCCAAAGTAATTTACAGAATCAACGCTATCCCCATCAAGCTACCATTGACTTTCTTCACAGAACTGGAAAAAACCACCATGAACTTCATATGGAACTAAAAGAGAGCCCGCATAGCCAAGTCAATTCTAAGCAAAAAGAACACAGCGGGGGCATCACACTACCAGATTTCAAACTATACTACAAGGCTACAGTAATCAAAACAGCATGGTACTGGTACCAAAACAGAGATATAGACCAATGGAACAAAACAGAGGCACCGGAGGCAACACAACATACATACAACTATACAATCTTTGATAAACCTGACAAAAACAAGCAATGGGGAAAGGATTCCATGTTTAACAAATGGTGTTGGGAAAACTGGCTAGCCATGTGCAGAAAGCAGAAACTGGACCCCTTCCTGACACCTTACACCAAAATTAACTCCAGATGGATTAAAGACTTAAACATAAGACCTGGCACCATAAAAACCCTAGAAGAAAATCTAGGCAAAACTATCCAGGACATAGGAGTAGGCAAGGACTTCATGAACAAAACACCAAAAGCATTGGCAACAAAAGCCAAAATAGAAAAATGGGACCTAATGAAACCACAGCTTCTGCACGGCAAAAGAAACAGTCACTAGAGTGGATCGGCAACCAACAGAATGGGAAAAAATTTTCGCAGTCTACCCATCTGACAAAGGGCTGATATCCAGAATTTACAAAGAACTCAAGCAGATTTACAGGAAAAAAACAAACAAGCCCATTCAAAAGTGGGCAAAGGATATGAACAGATACTTTATGAAAGAAGACATATGAGGCCAACAATCATATGAAAAAATGCTCATCGTCACTGGTCATCAGAGAGATGCAAATCAAAACCACATTGAGATACCATCTCACGCCAGTTAGAATGGCGATCATTAAAAAATCTGGAGACAACAGATGCTGGAGAGGATGTGGAGAAAAAGGAACACTTTTACACTGTTGGTGGGAGTGTAAATTAGTTCAACCATTGTGGAAGACAGTGTGGCGATTCCTCAAGGCCTTAGAAATAGAAATTCCATTTGACCCAGCAATCCCATTACTGGGTATATATCCAAAAGAATATAAATCGTTTTTCTATAAGGACACATGTACACGAATGTTCATTGCAGCACTGTTTACAATAGCAAAGACCTGGAATCAACCCAAATGCCCATTGATAATAGACTGGATTGGAAGAATGTGGCACATATACACCATGGAATATTATGCAGCAATCAGAAATGATGAGTTTGTGTCGTTTGTAGGGACATGGATGAATCTGGAGAACATCATCCTCAGCAAACTGACACAAGAACAGAAAATGAAACACCGCATATTCTCACTCATAGGTGGGTGATGAAAAATGAGAACACATGGACACAGAAAGGGGAGTACTAAACACTGGGGTCTATTGGGGGGAAAAGGGGAGGGCCAGTGGGAGGGGGAGGTGGGGAGGGATAGCCTGGGGAGAAATGCCAAATGTGGGTGAAGGGGAGAAGAAAAGCAAAGCACACTGCCATGTGTGTACCTACGCAACTGTCTTGCATGCTCTGCTCATATACCCCAAACCTAAAATCCAATAAAAAATTAAAAAAAAAATATTATAGCCACTTCCATTTTCTTCTGATTTGAAGTTCTTCTAAATTTGCTTCTTTAAAAATGTATTTCAGAATATAGCTCCTCAGAAATGAAAAAATAATGCTTCATAGAACATAAAACATTTTGATAAAACGTGCCAAATATAGATGCTCAACTAGGTAATTAACCACTGCTTCTCACAGACATACCTGTTAAACATATGCTTTCTCAACATCTGTATCTATTAACATAAAAGAATAAGTTCAAGCATACCAATAAATAGACAATAAAATATTTACGGGAAAAATATAGGTATACATACAAAAAAAAAAAAAAAAAAAAAAAAAAAAAAAAGAGTTCAAAGAACCAAAACAATCCTAACCAAAAATTACAGAACCAGAGGCATCGCATCACCTGATTTCAAACTGTATTAAAAGGCTGCAGTGACCAAAGCACTACGTTACTGGTATGAGGAGACCAATGGAACAGGCCAGAGAAACCAGAAACAAAGCCACACACTGACAACCATCTGATCTTTGACAAAGTTAACAGTAACAAGGAGTGGCAAAAGATTCCTTATTCAATACACAGTGCTGGGATAACTGACTAACCATACCCAGCAGATTGAAACTGGACCCCTTCTTTTCATCATACACAAAGGTCAATTCAAAATAAATTAAAAACTTAAGTGTAATATTTTAACTAAAACTGTAAAAGTCCCAGCATAAAACCTAGGAAATACCCTTCTGGACACAGGCCTTGGCAAATATTTCATAATGAAATCTCCAAAAGCAGTTGCAACAAAACCAAAAATAGACAAGTAGGACCTAATTAAACTAAAGACCTTTGGCACATCAAAAGAAGCTTTAATAGAGTGAACAGACAACTTACAGAATGGGACTGAGTGTTTCCAAACTATAGACCTGAGAAATGTCTAATATCCCGAATCTATAAGCAGCTTAAATTAGCATGCAAAACATATAACTCCAGTAAAAATGAACAAAGGACATAAAGACATACTTCTCAAAAGAAGGCATATGTACGTGACCAACAAGCATATAAAACCAAACACTGTATATTCTCACTCACAGGCAGATGTTGAACAATAAGAACACGTGGACTCAGGGAGAGGAGCATCACACACTAGGGGCAGTTGTGGCGGGACTATGGGAGGGACAACGGGGTGTGGGGAGGGTGGAGAGGGAGAGAAATGCTGGCTGTAGATGCAGGGGGAATAGAGGCAGCAAACCACCTGGTTATGTATGCACCTCTGCAACAATGCTGCATGACCTGCACATGTACCCCAGAACCTAAAGTAAAAAAAAAAAAAAGCTCAACAATACTAATTGTTAGAGAAACACAAATCAAAACCTCAATGAGATGTCATCTCATACCAGTCAGAATGGCTATTACTAAAAAGTCAAAAAATTAGAGATACTGGCGAGGTTACAGAGAAAATGGAGCACTTATACACTGTTGGTAGGAATGTAAATTAGTTCAGCCGTTGTTGAAAGAAGTTTGGGTATTTCTCACAGAACTTAAAGCAGAGCTATCCATTAACACAGCAATCCTATTACTATATACCTGAAGGAGCATAAATCGTTCTACCAAAAAGACACATGCACTTGTATGTTCATCACAGCACTATTTACCATAGCAAAGACATGAAATCAACCAAGGTGCCCTTAAACAGTTGACTGGTTAAAGAAAATGTGGTACATATATATCCATAAAAAGAACAAAGTCATGTTCTTTGCAGCTACATTGATGCTCATTATTGTAGGCATAAGCAGTTTCCCTGGTGAGTCAAGTTAGACTACATAGTGCATCTCTCTCTCTCTCCCCACCTTCTGTCTCTCCTCCTTCTCTCTCTCTCTCTGTCTCTCCTCTCTCTCTCTCTCTCTCTCTTTCCCTTCTCTCTGTCTCTCTGTCTCACCTCTCTCTCTCTCTTTTCATCTACAAGTAAATCCAAATTTAGTCTGAAAGCACTAAAATTAGCAACAAGATATTTCTTGCTATATCCTACCTCTCTGGTATCAAGGGAAGAGTATGAGAAGGTCTGAAAGAATTATTTTCTGGTATCTAAATCATAAGTGCTCTAATCTGTCTATTCTAGGCTTTTTCTTCTTTTTTAAAATTATACTTTAAGTTCTGGGGTACATGTGCAGATTGTGCAGGATTGTTACATAGGTAGGTATACATATACCATGGTGGTTTGCTGCATCCATTCCCCCGTCACCTACATTAGGTATTTCTCCTGATGTTTCTAGGAATTTTTTTTTTGCAACTGGAAATCCTAGAACATGTCATTTTTTGGAAGACAGTTAAAATCTCAAGAAGGAAAGAGATTTCCCCCAAAATTCTATGAATCAGATGTCTCAGATACTGAACATTGTTTTCTGTTGGTGAGGACTGAGTGGTAGGCATATAAAAGTAGTAAAGAGAGATCTGGAGATTTTTCTAAATGTCAATATCTATCAGTTTACCTGGATAATATTTGTTCATATATTTTGTGGTGAATTCTAATGATTAATCCTATTTCACTTTGTGAAGTTAAAGCAATGTATGAGTGTTTGAGAATGACAGTGGTGGGGAAAGCAAAGGCAGTAATGATAATGTTAAGTGATGCCAATTTGACAGTAAGGCCATATTTGCAGTGGTTGGGTGCTGCCTAACACTAGAGAGAGATTAGTACTGAATCTCAATTGGACCACATATTACCTATGTTAGTGTGAAGAATTAACTTAATTCTCTCTGTCTTATACTATTTGTACAAGTATTAAGTGAACCAATGCACATAAATAATTTATAATAGAATTGACACATTTTAGGACTAAGTTCACTAATTATGATATTAGTCATATTCATTATTATAGAAAATAATTCCTAGCTTAAATTAATTTTCCTTTGTAAAACTTGTCTAATTACTCAATTGCCCCCATAGTTATCTTTCTAAGAATGTGGGTGAAGGGGAAAAGGAAAGCAAAGCACACTGCCATGTGTGTACCTACGCAACTGTCTTGCATGCTCTGTTCATGTACTCCAAAACCTATAATCCAATAAAAAATAAAAAAAAAAAAGAATGCTGTTGGTGTTTACTGAACATACTGTTCATTTGGAACTCCTTGTTTTGTGTTATAAGTTTTGCATCACCATTTCCTGGCCTACTTTCTCCCCAGCACATACATCTATCTTATACTTTGATGATGATGGTGATGCTACTGATGAGAGCCTATGACCAAAATAAACAACAGGTTCTAAAGTCAAATGTGAAAGTCATATTTTGATGTGGTGAAACATGCGGACAATGGCTCGGCGGATTTCCTTTGTCTTGGTGCTATAAATGAGAGGGTTGAGCACAGGAGGCACGAACAGATACACATTTGACATGAGGACATGTATGTAGCGTGGGACATGCTTCCCAAAGCGGTGCACAGTGGAGACCCCAATCATTGGCACATAAAATGCAAGTACAGCCAGGATATGTGACACACATGTGTTGAGAGCTTTGAGGCGTTCCTCATGGGAAGCAATGGCCATGACAGAATGCAGAATGAGCACATAGGAGAGGAATATAAAAAACAGGTCCATGCCAAAGGTGGATACAAGAACGAAGAGTCCATAGATGCTGTTGATAGTGATATCAGCACAGGCAAGCTTCATCATGTCTGGGTGCAGGCAGTAGGAGTGAGAAAGAATATTGGATCTGCAGATAGGCAGCCTCTTGATAAGAAAGGGAAGAGGGAGGAGGGTGATGAAGCTTCGAGCAGTCACACCTAAACCCACTGCAGCAATGACTTCATTGGTGAGCACAGTGGCATAGCGCAAGGGGTTACAAATGGCCACGTAGCGGTCAAAACTCATGGCCAGCAGAATACCCGATTCTATCATGGAGAAGGAGTGAATAAGAAACATCTGAATTAGACAGGCATCAAAAGTTATGCTGTGGGCATTGAGGCAGAAGGTTCGGAGTACAGTGGGCAGCGTGGCTATGGACATGGCCACATCACTGAAAGACAACATGGACAGGAAGTAGTACATAGGCTTGTGGAGGTTGGGCTCCACTTGCACAGCCTGCAGGATCACTGTATTTCCCCCAAGGGCCACAGCGTACATCACACAGAGAGGCCCTGCCAGCCAGGAGTGAGAGCTCTCCAGGCCAGGGATACCAGTCAGGAGAAAGAATGCAGGCTGAGTGACATTGAACCATTCCATAGCAGAATGAACTTAGGGTATTTTTCAGAGTCAGATCTTCTGACTTGGAGAATTCTAACAGTTGCACTTGCTGGAGGACAAGAAATCAGGAAATAAGAGACAAGGTGATGATGTTGACATGAATGGAAACTGATGCATTCATGAAATCACTAGTTTGGGGCTGATGCAGGCAAACTTCTTTCCTTCATATTTTATGATGATCAGGCTCCAGGCTGAGCTAATATTTCCCTCTGTTTTATGAAGAAGGAAGACATTGAGAAATACTTCAATAATAGAAATTAGTTAAAAGGAAAATGTTTAAATTACATTCCTAAAACTTCCATGTATTTCAGAGGTATCATTCCACAGAGATATGCTAACTACAATTCACAAATAGCCACCATAGAAGAAAGTCAGGAGTTTGTGTTATCAACAGCAATTGGAAATATTTAAATATTTTCTTGAAAATGTTGTTTAATTCACGTGTCACTAATTAATGAGAGAATTTCCCAGAGCAAGTTTGTATCATGTTGTGTGCTTGGATAGAGAGGGAAAAGGACAGTGGGGTGTGGTCATTGACTGCCTCTGGGTATCAGCTTTTCATTGGAAGAGTTACTGCAAAAAAGCAATAACAGAAATTACCTATATTTGTGCAAAGGCACAAGGTTGTATCTGTTTCTGGAAAATCTGTGTATTCTTCCCTACACATTCTATAGGTACACTAGTGTTCAGTCTGTGGGAGAGAATTATTCCAAATACAAACTTACATATCCTCACACGGTTAGATGTACCCTCAAAATACCCATTAGTCACAAGGACACGTTAATGTATCTTCACAACAGCTAGTAGAAAGCTCATTCATACTCTAACAAGACACTCATTCACATACGCTCTCCATATCTCATAAAGTCACTTGTTACATAATTATATTTACACATTCTCTCTTGATCTTTACACCATTTAACATGCACAACAAGATGTGCTGCTTTCCCAGCAATACATAACTCATAAGTACTATGGTTCCAGCAAGCCAGTGGCTGCCCTTCTGTGTTTATTCTGATTATGTCCCTTCTGGTCTTAGAGCTCAGTCTGCACATGTCTATGTCTCCTCAAAAACTCTGATTCCTTGGGATCCAGGACTGAAGTTTGCCTCTTGTTTCTCCCATTTGACTACACTCTCATTCTTTATATAGAGTCTTGTAGAAAGTAATCACAATACATAGAAGAGAACCAAGCCAACGCAAAAATAACAGAAAGAAGATAGAAGAAAACAGACTGAAAGCAGGATTTTGTGCAGGGCAAGGCCAAAGCTATTCTGGGTCTGGAAACTTATGTTTTAGTATTTGTAGAAGAAAGATTGCCTGACTGTTCCAGAATTACATCCCTTCCCATACCTCAGGGATCACTAACATTGTGGGTTGTCTGGACACATATGAATAAAGTAATGCTGAGAGAGAAAATGAATACTTTTTGAACACACATGATGTGCCAGGTACCCTGAAAAGAACTTTACATTTGTTTTCTCATTTAGTCCTTAACATATGGGGACACTGACACCCAGTGAAATGAGCTTTCCTCACAGTTTACAGAGACTAGGTGATAAAATCTCAATTTAAAGAATTTTAAGACTCTCTTCTCTCTCTCTCTCTTTTTTTTTTACTTTAAGTTCTGGGATACATGTGCAGAGCATGCAGGTTGTCTTTGGTGGGGACATGGATGAGGCTGGAAGCCATCATCCTCAGCAAATTAACACAGGAATGGAAAACCAAACACTGCATGTTCTCACTCATAGGTGGAGTTAAACAATGACTCTCTTCTCTCTTACCAAGGTCTTTGAAGCATGATTAAGGCACTGGAGAGGAAGTTTAAAAAGAAAATAGAGAAATGCATTTGTGAACAAAGATTTCACAGGTACCCTTAAATAAAGAAATTGAATGGCTAAAAGCAGATATGCAGGAATATAATGATACAAAAGTACCTGTCTCCAAGACTGAACACAAATTCTCCCACTCCTGGAACCTAGAATCTTAACATTACTGAAGACACATAAGAACCAGGTGGTTTAGAAGAAAGGACCCTGAGTTGGGTGTCAGGAGTCCTGGCATTGTCTGGGTCTGGAAGGTACTGGTTACATGAGCCTAGAGAAATCCATTTCTTTTTCGAGACCTATGCCTTATTTATTTTTTATTTTTATTTTTGAGACTGAGTCTTGCTCTATAGCTCAGGCTAGAGTGCAGGGGCACAATGTCGCCTCACTGCAACCTCTGCCTCTCAGGTTCAAGTGATTCTTGTGCATCAGACTCCTGAGTAGCTGTGATTACAGGTGTGCACCACCACACCTGTCTAATTTTTGTGTTTTTAGTAGAGACAGGATTTCACCGTGTTGGTCAGGCTGGTCTCGAACTCCTGAACTCAGGTGATCTTCCCTCTTCAGCCTCCCAAAATGTTGGGATTACAGGTGTGAGCCATCGTGCCTGGCCTATGTCTTATTTTTAAGGACATTCTCTAAGATTCTTTATGGCTTTGATGTTCTTTTACTTTATTTTACTTTTTAATCAATCAAGGAATGCCTGTGAGAGTTTGCTGTGGTACTGTTATGGAAGCAGAAAGCAGGTAGATAGAGGCTGGAGGGATGACCAGAAAGGCTGTCTAAAGACCACAGTTTTCAATCTATATCATGGATAATAAAATAATGAAAATTATTAGCTATTAATGATTCATCTAAAGTTTATGGCTGATTTCTCCTATGCTTTTAATATCCTGGAGACTTTTTATATATTTTGTTGTCACTGAATTCATAAGGGAAGAGCAAACAAACCACGTGTGCTTCAGCTGTTTGTCATGGATGGGTTGTGACCACTTCCCTTCTAGATTTCTGAACCATGCCTGTATCCTGAGTCCTGCTTCCCTCTCTGAATTTTCCAGCAATGTTAATGAACCACAGAAACTTTGACCTTTGAAGTTTGGAGTCACAAAGAAATGGACGATGGCAAGTAAGGACTCTAGAGAAGTACAGTGAATTCCTTGGGGTTATACAAGCAGTCCATGGCAGTGCCTGAACAAGAACTCCAAGCCCAGGGATCTTTCCTGCTGCTCCGCCCATTCTACTAAGATGCCGCTATCAGATACCCTCCAGGAGGCTTTTTCACTTCCCCTCACCATACCCCTTGCCCATTTTAATGCTTTCATGGAGCAGGCTTCAGGAGGATCAGCTGGCCAATTTTCACAGGGTTTCAGAACTCACCAGAAGAGAGACTGAGAAGACACCGACAGGACAAGTTCTTCCCTTTCTCTGCTGAAGTGAATTCATGCCTGCCACTTTTATGTCTCATGATAGGCCCTGGAATAGAGGACAGTGATGCTGACTTTGTGTCTGAAAATTCTTCAGGGAGGTTTTAGTCTCCTGAGGTCCTTAATGACTACTGAGAATAAAGCATGTGCTGTTGTAGCTGAAAAAAACATCAGCAATATGTCAGAGAAATTCTTTACTCCACACAAGACATTGTCTTGTGATAGACAGACAAGCACTATAAGAGAGGAGTTCATTACCTTCTAAGAGATTCTGGGTTTATGTGATATGATGACCAAGCCCATCAATTGAGGTGTAATAAGAAAGTGACTATTTTTATTCTTCTTGTGTCTTTAAATATATTGAATGGGGCTGGTTCTTCTTTTTTATTCCTGGATGAAAACTGTTCTTTAAATTTTCTGGTCACATTCATATAATAAAATATTTTCTGGTGAATAATTAGAATGTTTAGTCTAGTATAATAGTCAATCTTTCCAGCTTTCAGAGCTATATCCTTTCTCCTTCTCCCATCCTTCACGTGCTAACTCTGGTTTCTGGCTTCTCCTCTGAGGAAGAGAAAGATGGGGGAATGGAAAGTTCACAATTAATTGGTGCTGCAGTTGCTATCATGTTAACTGGGCCTCTTCAATGTATAAAGCTGACTCTTTCTTATATTTGGTGCTTTCATAGGTTATTCTTAGAAGCTTCTCTTCATCTTTTACTTGTTCTCCACTTGATTTAAGTTAATACATCTTTATTCTGTGTGGTTGCTTGTAACTCCATTGACAACCTGGATTGCCCTTGTGGATAGGACATAAGACAACACTGTGCCAGCTCTCTCTAGCTTTTGGCCCATTCAAGTAGTGGTCAGACTTTTTACAACAAGTGCCCTATTTCAATGCAACAATAGTCTTTCCTTCAATCTTGCTATCAGAGCGGAAAGGCACGTTTATCAATGTTTATTTATTTAGATTGAACATCTGCTGGGTGTAAATCATATTCAGTGGCTCTGTTGACACACATGGATCAGACACAATCTAACCTAGAAACAAAAATTAGGGTTCAGTAGGGTCCAGGTAGAATATAAGACATACACCAGTTCTTTTAACTGAGAAAAATTAATGACTTGTTAACCAAATATTGGCAAAAACACAAGACAAAAAGGGAATATGAAGGTGTCATTGTAGGCAGCAACTTCAGGACATAGCTTCTAAGCCTAGGAATGGAGGAACCAAGGTAGGAATCTGGGATGATTAAATCTTACTATTTTATTTATTGCATTTTAGATTTTGGGGTACATGAGCAGAGCATGCAAGACAGTTGCGTAGGAACACACATGGCAGTGTGCTTTTCTTTCCTTCTCCCCTTCACCCACATTTGGCATTTCTCCCCAGGCTATCCCTCCCCACCTCCCCCTCCCACTGGCCCTCCCCTTTTCCCCCCAATAGACCCCAGTGTTTAGTACTCCCCTTTCTGTGTCCATGTGTTCTCATTTTTCACCACCCGCCTATGAGTGAGAATATGTGGTGTTTCATTTTCTGTTCTTGTGTCAGTTTGCTGAGGATGATGTTCTCCAGATTCATCCATGTCCCTACAAACGACACGAACTCATCATTTCTGATTGCTGCATAATATTCCATGGTGTATATGTGCCACATTTTTCCAATCCAGTCTATTATCAATGGGCATTTGGGTTGATTCCAGGTCTTTGCTATTGTAAACAGTGCTGCAATGAACATTCGTGTACATGTGTCCTTATAGTAGAACGATTTATAGTCTTTTGGATATATACCCAGTAATGGGATTGCTGGGTCAAATGGAATTTCTATTTCTAAGGCCTTGAGGAATCGCCACACTGTCTTCCACAATGGTTGAACTAATTTACACTCCCACCAACAGTGTAAAAGTGTTCCTTTTTC